GGGGTGTTTTTCAGCTGCAGGGACAGGACGACTGGTTGCAATCGAGGGAAAGATGAATGCGGCCAAGTACAGGGATATCCTGGACGAAAACTTTCTCCAGAGTGCTCAGGACCTCAGACTTGGCTGAAGGTTTACCTTCCAACAAGACAATGACCCTAATCACACAGCTAAAATAACGAAGGAGTGGCTTCACAACAACTCTGTGACTGTTCTTGAATGGCCCAGCCAGAGCCCTGACTTAAACCCAATTGAGCATCTCTGGAGAGACCTAAAAATGGCTGTCCACCAACGTTTACCATCCAACCTGACAGAACTGGAGAGGATCTGCAAGGAGGAATGGCAGAGGATCCCCAAATCCAGGTGTGAAAAACTTGTTGCATCTTTCCCAAAAAGACTCATGGCTGTATTAGATCAAAAGGGTGCTTCTACTAAATACTGAGCAAAGGGTCTGAATACTTAGGACCATGTGATATTTCAGTTTTTCTTTTTTAATAAATCTGCAAAAATGTCAACGATTCTGTGTTTTTCTGTCAATATGGGGTGCTGTGTGTACATTAATGAGGAAAAAAAATGTACTTAAATGATTTTAGCAAATGGCTGCAATATAACAAAGAGTGAAAAATTTAAGGGGGTCTGAATACTTTCCGTACCCACTGTATATTTATATAATATACAAACAATTGATTTTATTTTATTTTTATTTCAAAATAATGAAAGAACGGTAAAAAATAGTGTACAAAGTATACAATGTCAGTAATTATTTATTAAATACTTACTAAATTGTCCCAGTAAGCACTACTAAAAAGAGAAAGGAAAGAGAGCATAAAGGCAGTGAGAGAATGTTGAATGACCTAAGGGCGAATAAGAGAACATAATTGAGAGGTTCATAGGTGTGGGTATAGGGCTGGCTGACCTACATTCTGCTGCCCTTTCACTGATCTGCCTGTGTGAATCGCACGGCCTCTTTTCAAATCTTACCAACACTTATTAGACACTCACACATACCCTTATTAGTACACATCCTGTGATGCCGTCATATGTGATATAAACCTGCTTATACGCACGCACATCATTACATTATAATGACTGTTCCACATGACACACATACACGCTCAGACACTTGTTTGCGCTCTCTGTTTTTTGACCTACATCTTAGGCAGCTCTGTTATGTAACCAGAGTTATGTAGCATGCAGATGTTCAGAGACAAAACCTCTTCTCTTCCCACTCCAACTCCTCTCTCTGGCCTCTTTTCCTCCTTGTTCTTCCTCTCCTCGTTTAACTTTTCCTCCTTCCTTTCTCTGCTTGCTTTTTCTGTTCTAGTTTTCCTAGTTGTCCTGCCTCTGCTCTTTCGTTTATATATAGTGGCCTCCAAAAGTCTAAGTGCACTTTGAAAATCTGGGATTCAAAATCTAATATGAATGTTTTAGTAAACAGAAGAGTTAAACCCCTAAAATGAATAAGAAATATAAACTGCATTATTTCTAGGTCACCAATCAAAAATTTGACTGTGTGAACCTTTGTACAAAAGGTCAGATTTTCTTGCTGTCTTTGAAGCACAAGATGTTCTTTGAAACATTCTCAGATAAATACAAAGTTCTGTCATGAAACTCTAGATGGCGCAGGCTGATGGGTCTAACTCAATCTGACGTAATTACATCATTATTCACATGGCGCAGCTGATTGCTTCTTTTTGTATCAGCAGCCAATGAGCTTGCTGCTCAAACATTCAAATACTCGGCTAGTGCTTGCTGTAGCAGTTGCAGCACCCCTCAGAAACCCTCCACCTTCCCCAGCTCCACCTGTATAGATCAGCTACGGGGTAATTTCATGTATGCCTTATATGGGGTTGTCTCATATGTGTTATATGAGCAGTAGCAGTATTTCTTGCATGCTCACAGCAGCATGTCATGGATGTATTGGCATTAGCAAGTCTCGGTACTTGCTCCGCAGCAGCATAGCAGATCTATTCCACCAAGACCAAACACACTGACATTGCCATGTATATTACCATCCTAAACTCCCTGAGAGTTGTCATGGTAGGACATGGATCGTCAGGTTTTGCACAAACCTGTGGAGTTTGTGTGGCTAAACCAAATACTAAGCCAATCTGAGTTTTTAAAATGAATCCTTTTACTTAAGTTGCATTATTATATGATCAGTAGCAAAGCAAAGCAATTGGACCCCAATGTGCAAAGCACTTGTGTAAGAAATGTGCTGAGCAATTGAACATTAATGATCATTTCTTCTTCTTTTCTTTCTATATTATTTGCATTATGTATTATTTTACATGCAAATAGTCCCTGTTTCCCTTAGATAAGGTGTATGAATCATTAAAGGACTAGAAGTCAAGCACTGCTGCAAACCATTAAAGAATACTCTTGACGTTTCTCAGCTACACAGCAGCAGCACTTAAATGTGTGTTTTTGCTGATCAGTATTGAGTTGAATGGTGTTCAGGTTCTCAGATGAGTGTAGTGTTCAGTTATTAATGAGATCACAATGCAGCTTTCTGCTTACTCCTCTTTAAGCTCTCTGCAGGCTGAATGACGTATCTGCACCTCCACCCTCTCTCTTCTCCAACCCTCACTCTCTGAATTCCCCTTTTCTCATCCCTCTCCTCCCCTTCACACTGACCTACTTTTCCACTGACCTGCTTTCGTAAGGTTCCGCATACTCCGAACAAATAATAAAAAAAAAAAAAAGAATGGGGGAAAGAGGGAAATAGAGTGAAAAAATACCAGCGAAGAGAACAAAGCACTGCAGCTCTTGCTAAAAGTCACCTTGCTTTTGTTCTTGCGTCGGCTCTCGCTACCCTAGCAACCGGTAGTGCGGCACAGTTCGGTGCTTGCTTTCATGTGATGTCATCAACAACACACACACACACACACACACACAATTAGACACCTTTTAATGAATGTAGTCATAACAGATGATGTCTGTTTTGAAATATGGCTGTTCAGTTGTAGTTGAATTATTGTAGAACAGGTAGTACTTTCAGATGAAGGTTGTACGGCAGGTTGTGTAAGTGCCATGCATATTACTCAATGCCGGACAGGGCAAGTTATATAACAAACTGGCAGTCTACCAGGAGCAATAAATAAATGACAGGTAATCGTTAACGATTGAAAATGTGTCAGAAAAGATCTAGTGGAGAATTGGTGTGAAAGTCAACATGTAATTTCTTGGGAACAAGGGGTTGAAAAGACTGGATTATGCCCTGCATTTCAAGCGATTCTTTTTATAATGTCAGTTGATATCAGAACAGTTACATAACTTGTTTTCTGCTCTGGTCTATTTTTTCTTCTTCTTTGAATTAGTGCATGTACTTTTAGTATATTTTCATGACAAATGAACAGTGTGACTGGCTACATCATGTTCATTTCCAATTATCTCCTATTCCTTTAAATTTAATTTGCAGTTGAATTTTTTATTACATTGGTAAATTAATCCATCAATGCATATTTGGAGGAGAGAAAATGAAGGCTTTTTTATGTGTACTTCTACTCGTTCACAGCCTGCCAGATGTGTGTGTGTGCGTGTGTGTGTGTGTGTGTGTGTGTGTGTGTGTGTGTGTCCGTCTTTGGGCTGTGACACAAGTGCTGTGACTTGGCCAGTGTTACATCATATTGGTTGACTCTTGTGCCCTGCAGGAGTACAAAGTGTCCCTGTGCATTTGCAGAGCTCTCGTTTCAATTAGTTTATAGTGCTAAGATTGGAAAGGAAAAGTCAGAAGCTGGAACCATAAAATCTGTTTGCTTTTCCGTTGATCTGTTTTAAAATCTTGAGCAAGTGCAGGCTGGTATTGTTTATGGTAACACTTTATTACGAGGCATTAAGGCTTGTGAGGGAGTTGCTTAGCGGTATAAACAACATTAGGCAACTTAAATTCAACATACAACGTGTTTTATTTTTCTTTCCACTCCTTTAGTGTCATTCTGAGAACCTTGACAGGTACGCCCACCTCTTTTAACAAACATCTTTTTTTTTTACTTAAAACTTCAGTAAATACCACACAATACACCAGGGTACAGAGGTGAAATAGACAAACAGGACATGAAAATATATACGTACTGTATCACATTGAGGTGAACAGACAACAGACACAAGAAATATTAACCCAAAAAGAATAATAGCATTGGAATATAAAATAAAATACAATATTAATAATAATAATAATTATTATAGAATGCCAAAATAAACTTGATACAAACTTAAAATACTCAAAAGAGAGAATTTGTCTGTACACTTTTTACATAATGGCCAGTGCCAGGCACCTGTTTGGGAACAATAAACACAGATTGTATAAAATCGGATGAAAAAAATTCAGTGCAGAAGCAGCTTTCAGCTGTGGTATATTCTACAAAGACAACTAGTGGGACTGAATTTGTGTCTAGGTAACACTTAGTTGTGTGCTGCAGCATTTTACTGTGTGTTAACTTTTATACGCAACAGTTAATGGGTATAATGATGCAATGGGCTACATGCACCAAAGGAGAAACTCTTCAGTTCTGCGTAACCTCAACCGTTTCTTCTCATGAGGTAGCATGTGAGGCGTCTCTGAAACCTGACCACAGAGGACACGACCATCTTGAGATGGTAATGATATCTTACACTTTATACAGTCCGCATATTAATTCGGCCTCGGAAGAGACCGCCTTGATGTTTCTGAAAGGGCTTTTACTCTAATTTGACTAAATGTCAGGTAGCCTTTTTCGAAAAAGGATTGGTCACAGTGACCTTGGGAGAGGGTCTATCCATCTAGCTCCTTTACAGTGATGCAATATAGTAATGTGATGTAAAAAATGTGATTTTTCACTGGTTAACCTTGACCTATGAATGACCAAAACACTATGAAGAGAACATTCTCTCAAATGGTGTGATACAGGGACATAAATACGATGATTTAAAAAATATAATGGAAGCATCAGATATGAACATTCGGAAAGGACTATACAGGAATTCAAACAGTAATAAGTAGACAGTGTTCGTAGTATTTCTCCCACTTTTCTACTCTTAAAGATTGACATGTCATTTTTTTTTTCATAAAATATATTGAAATATGATATGTTTAGTCATGTCACAGTATTATAACAATCCAAGTGCTTCAATAATGCTAAAGTCCAAAGGCAGAGGAGAGAGACGGGCATAAATCTGTTGAGATTTTTCCTCCTGAAATCAATAGGGAGAAAAGGACTTGTGCCTTAAACTCCATGAACTACTTGGGTTCAGCGACTACCCATCAATTTAGCTACGAAACATGGTAGAGATATGTAAATATTCAAAGGTGAAGTCAAAGGTTGCTATACAGAGTTCTGTAGGTTTTTGAAAGAGGAAAAATATAATTTGAAAGAGCTCAATTTCCTCTTCGTAACTTCTTCGAGTTATAGCTAAGTGCTTATGAAAGAGTTAGAGAACAGAGCTGCATTAAAAGGTCACAGAATCGCTCTTGATAAGAAAACAGACCAAGAACACAATGAGTTTCTTTCTTGTTGTTGTTACGTATAAGCAATAGACTTTCATGCAATTAATTGGTACCATTTTCATTTTTCTTTCTATAAGATGGTAAAGGTGACATTTATCATGTCCTGTCTTAACTCTGTTAAAGGATGTGATGTGCCAGTTTCAGTCATGTTTCTTGTTTCTGCTACCTCGTCCTCCTAAGCTCCTCTTCCCGCTTTCCTTCCATTCCTCTACCTTCTCTCTGTAAGGAGACTGTTGTGTGCAAAGTTCATCTGTTGTCTCACTCTCCCCTTCCTTGCTTCCAGAGCTGCTGCCTTGCTGCTGGTTAACCTGCGCTAGCGCCAGGTATGGGTGCTGAGGCAGAGCGGAATCAGGTGACGTAGCAGCTGTTGTAGCCAGGACGTCTAGGGACCCACCATTAGATAGTGCTCTATACTTGAGCCTTAGCTTGTGTGGCAGAGCAGTGCCTTTCATTTCACCTTGGTTGTCTCCGTACTGGTAAGCATCACTGGCGACCATGGTGGGTGAGGATGGTGACTGGTGGATGGCGTGATATCCACCAGTATCAGAAGAAGAGGATGAGGGAGATTCATCGTCAGTGGAGGCTTCCTTATCTGAGCTGCGTGGGTCTCCGTCACTAGAGGAGGTGTCCTTGCCTGAGGAGGAGTGCTCTTGGTAGAAGCCATCTGCTTTTGGGCAACCTTCATACGTTAGCACAGGTGGCTCCTTGTTCAGAGTGCCGAGGTAGGGATTGGAATGCTGGTATGCGTGGGCTTTTCCAGCCTCATTGAGCAAATCTGGGGCAAAAGAATTTGGAGTGCCCTCTTGAACCTGACTTCTGTATTGTCCTTGAACACTCAGGTCTTGTTGCTGTATGACAAACCGCCTGCTCTCCCTGGCATTTGCCTTGCCGTTAGTGAATTCATAGCTTGGGGAATCCAAAGACCTCCTGGAAAGCTGCTGTGCAACCTCTGAAAGAGTCTCTAAACCATCAGGTCTTATTGGTAGATTGCACCCTGTTTGAGTAAAATGAGTGATTTGCCCATTCTGTTGTGTTTGGGATGCCACCTGCTGCTCCATGTCCTCAACAGGGTACGAGCTGCTTCCGGAACGAAAGAGGATGACACTTCTTTGGGGCGTGGCGGATAGGGGGGCTGGGTTGTTGACACCTTCTTGCTGTTCCATTTCTTGCGCTTGATGATTCTCTAGTCGTCCAAGACTTTGATGGCCATTGAACATGCCATTAAGAACACTTGCCTCAAGCCTGTTAATGTCCATTCCAGAGCTCTCGTGTTTGACGTCAAAGTTTATAGGTTCAGGACTGTCCCGTGAAGATCCATCAGACATGTCAGACAGTGATCTACATGGGGAGTACTTGGGTAAAGTTGTGTGGCGTTCACTCCTGGTTGGCTGTTCAGCCTCTGAGGAATCAGAGTTCATCATGACCTGAGAAGCACTGGAGTATCCACTGCTTGAGTAATATGGATTTCCGGAAGTTGCTCCGTTACCATTAGCTCCATTAGTCGCTGCCTTTGAACCATTGCTGATCTGCTGGGTCTTCTCCATGTAAGAGGCAGAGCTTATGAGTCCAAATCTTAGTTTCAATTGCAGGAGTTCTGTCTTCAGCCGCACATTCTCCTCATTCAGTGCCATTACTCTGTTCTCCAACACCATATCATTGATTCGGCGCTTCTCCCTTGACCTTTTGGCAGCCTCGTTATTCTTGCGTCGTTTTTCCCAGTAGAATGCATCTTTCTTTTCATCTGAGATGAACTCCCGCTTTCGTCGACAGGTCATATTGGGTTTTGGTTTTACTAGTCGGCCTTGACGAGGAGGGCTGGTGATTTGGGGTGATGGTAAACTCTCGCTGTAGGTTGAGAATGTTTCTAACGTTTCCAAACTGGAATCGTTATTTTGGGTAGGAAGATTTAGGCTTTCCATTGTGGTTCTGTTAAGGCCAGTTTGTATAACTGGCACTCAGTTGACATTGAAAATTAATGTTTTAATACTGAAAAGTATTTCTTTCTGATTAACACTTCAAAAACACACTTAATTGTCAGCATATACAATGATGTACAAGGTTCTGTTTTTTCCTCCAAAGAGGAACTGTACGTATTTCTGATTGATGCCTTTTTCCTCCTACTCTAACCAGTCTTCAAACCTTTCAAGTGTCCAGACTGGTCAAAAAGATAAGAAAAAGATGAAAGGCAACAAAAACAACCGTCATTGGATAGGTGTTACAAGTTTAGTTTAGTAGGGATAGTCGTTTTCTTTTTTTTTGTTTGTTTAGCTTGCTTTCAGTTCTTTCTTAATTTAGACAGTTTAATTTGTTGACTTGGCAAAGCTCCTTGTTCTTGATGGGTGAGGTGGCAGTGTAGGCTGGGATTGCAGTTGAAGAATAAACTTTTTTTTTTTCCCAAGCACCCCCGAAAGATGTTGATCATATATCAGATCCGTCTCAGCTCAGTGTTTTATCCCAGTCTTTGATGAACAGATCTGTAAAGACAATGAAACAGGATGTTTACTGAAAATGTCTACAAGAATGAATAAATGTCATAGAGTTAAAGGTAACGAACAGGATAAAGTTATTATGAATAGTATGTTATTTCCAAAGTGTTCTACTTTATCGCACTGGTGACATTGTTGTTTCTTATTTTCACGCTGTTGTGGGTTTGTGTATGTGGTTAAGAAGTTACTTCAGATCCCTTAAATTAGAATAAACATTTAACTTGTTAACTTAATTTAAGGGTTTTGTGAAGACCTTTCCCTTACAATCTGCATTCAAAAGTTGCAGCTTTGATGATAAATAGTTAAATCCCATGGATGAATGTCAAAAGATGCAATAGCAAAATGTATTCTCTATATTAATTCGGAAACGTCCCAGTGTTCCATTTCCAATCTTGGCAGCAACTGAAATGTTCTGCTTCTCCTCTGTCCTACGAGCTCTAGAGAAATGTAGGTCAGTACAGTAGTGTAGCACAGCGAGTAGGAGATCACGCCGTGCTGCAGTAGGACACTTATTGCGTAAGATACTGCACTGTCACATAATCAGAGACACCTGACTGACTGCCAGGACTGCAGGCAAAGGAAGCACCACAGGAGAGAACTAAAGGTGTGGAATATCCGGAAACACCCTCATTCTCTTTTTTATCATTTATTTGTGATCCAAACATAATTTATTGACAGTGTAACTAAGAAAATTTGGTTTACTAAAAATAAAGAGTACATAATGTACACAACTAACTTTTTAACTGACGACTTATTGTGCGGTTATTATTATTAGCACTTGGTCCTTGATTTAATAGCTCATCCGCTTTTGCAGCTTATCGTGAGAATCTGAATTCATGTTACATAACCACACACAGCTATTGCACCATCGCTAAAACACAACCTCAACACCAGGCATTCTCATAGCTCAATACTAAAAAGAGGAAGAGGAACAAAAATGTACAACATAAACAGCCCATTGTTCTCAAAAGTAAACATAGAACTTTGCATACGCCTGTTTTGTTTAAGCCCGATTTAATTTTCTCTTCTCTTCAACCACACAAGTGAGTATTACTTTAGTAGTAATTTTAGTAGTATTTCTACATTTCTGTGTAACTTTGTCCATGGTGGTTAGGCTCACAGCACTTTGGGGACCAAGCATCCTGAAAACATGGAAGCACAGAGTATTTGGTCCATGCATGGCCATTTTTTTCCATAGGAACGCAAACGAGAGCATGGGGGAGGGCGGTGGACGTTGCGTGTGTGTCCCACTGACCTAGAAACTGGCTGCTCCGTAAACACGGTGCGTGCGCGCACTTGGTCCAACGCCGTGCTATAAAATAGGTCAGTGGGGCGGCAACGGTGTGTGCGTGCGCGGGTGGGTGTCTGTGAGAGAGTGCGTCTGAGCAAGTGGGGAGGAATTATAGTGCCTACCAAAAATAGTGTGCTTGGGTGAGGGAGGAGTTAAGGATTCCAATTGGGGGACAAGACAGGAATTTACCAGCACTGCAGAGGTACAAAAAAAGAGCGAATACGTCAGCATCAGAATATTAGATTAAACTGGGCTATGAATCACACCAGTGATGCACTGATACGCATCAAATGCACTAGCATTTTCCTGAAACGCAATGAGAAAAGGAGGAAGGTTTCAAAATTAGGGATTCTGCTCTTACACCACAATGATTGCCCGATGTGTTCCAGCTTTTGTAATATCAACTCATCAGAGCATAAGGTACTGCGTAGTTCAGATTGCAGGTTGTGGCTCAATGCCAGATTGTTATCACAGTCAAGGATCATTTTAGGACATGCTGAGCTAAGTTCAGACACCTATAAATATAGTGTCTGTAAACCTTTATTTTATGGTAGATTACTGACTTAGGATAGTAATGATTTTCAAAGAATAAGGAGGAAGACATAACCGTCCTACAAATATTTTGACCACATGCACATTTGTGTTATTAGTTCCCTTAGCTTGTTTACATTTCCTCTTCCAAGAATAAGTTTCTTGGAAAAAAAATTCAGAAAAAAGAGCTTGAGGTCTAGTCAAACACACAGTTATGCACCATTCCACATAGATAGTGTTTACAACTGGAAGCCTCCCTGCATGTGTTCACCCAGTCACATGCAGGCAAAACTGTTATGCCTCCAGTCTTCCTTCCAACCTAAAGGCCAAGTAGGCCAGTAAGACAGAGATAGTGTGTTGGCTAGACTCTTAATTACAGGGATTAATGCTGAAATCAGGATAGCTGTCTATGAAAATTGAGTTCACACCAAGTTGTCAGAGACTAGGATGCTCTTCAGATTAGATTATGTTGTGGAGGAATAAACTAATCAATTGCACGAATGTCATTTGGGTTTCAGACTGATGATTATTATTGCGAGAAGTTTGGGAGCAATGTGAGGCAGTTTCAGATTCCTGGCATTGCTGAACAGGGAGTGGTGGAATTGTTAAAGGGCAAAGTGTACTTAGTTTGGGAGTAGGTCAGTCTTTATGAGCCAAGCATGCAATGAGTATTGCATCACAATGAGTTACGATAAATTATTAAACATTTGAAGGATTCGCACAATAGTCTGCTAGTCTTGCTTGTGACTAAACATGCCTCTCTGTTTTCCAACCAAAAGTTTTACGTCGTTTCACACTGCACAATAACCTACGAGACACGCACTCACATTACAAGAATTTAATTAACTGTGGTGACGTGTTTATTTAACAGCTCGCGCATCTGAAGAAGGTCTGTCTCTGTTCGCCACTGAACATCGTGCAACCCAACAAGACCTCGCGTGGCATCGGAACGCATTATCCTATCGGGATGCAAGTCGCCACGCGTTATTTTACAACCATATGCTTTGTAGAAATGCCGACTTGCAACTTACTATTGAAATGCAAGGGGAATGGTGCCACCGCAATGCACAGACATTAACTGACCCCACAGCCACTCGTGCGTTAGGATTTCGTAATGATCACCACCTCCCCCACGCCACGACCGTCTCGCCTTGACATTGAATGTGAATATGTATGCAATGCACAATGTGAGATATGTTGCTACCTTACAGTTTACAGCATGCAACAATAAACAAAGAAAAAATCGTTGAAAACCAAAGAATTAATCAGTCCGCGACGCATTTGAGTCATGCCGACCCTGAGTCCGTTTCCATGTGAACAATAACATGCCCTGACCACGTTGCAAGGTAAGAGCCTAGCCTACAACTGCTTAGCCTGCTACAAGCTCTGTAAAACACTACATACAGCACGCATTATGAAATATGATATGATAAACCGACTGCAGTTGAACTCACCGAAGTGAAATAGCGCATTCCTTTCGTTAAACGCAAGGATCCTCTTTTATTCTTCAATAAATCGCTCCTCAGTGCCTCTATATGCGGTTTCTCGTCCCGATTCTGGTCTTTCTTCCTTTTACAACTTCAGTCTGGGCTGAAAAATGTCCCGTGTGGGTCGTGATCCACTCACCGGCTTTGTGTCGATTAATGCGACTCCCTGAATGTGCTGCTATTCGCCGTCTATCTCTCCCTCCCTCTTCGTCCTTGTGTTATGTCGGAGGCTTTGCTCCAGTTTTCGTCTCTTACACACACGTAAGCTACACACACACTTGCTCCTCTCGTCGTCCTCGAATGTGTGTTAGTAGGTCAGCGGTTGCATAACACGGAGCTTTGGGTTCCTAGTCACGCTTTTGTTAATCATGACGATACACAAGCCTCCGCCCCTGCCGAAATGACCAAAGAGGGGACGGAGGTGGTCAAAAAAGCTCTTCTCTCCCGTACTCAGTAAAACGACACTCAGCCCATACACCCACCGATCATATATACGGCGACAGCAGTGTGCGGTTGCTTCAACACGCCTCTGTGTACACAACACTTCAGCTTCTCTGGAAGAAGGAGGTTACGAGACTGCTAAAGTGTTGCGTAAATGTTCACAATTACGTAAAAGACACTTTGGCTCAAAGAAAAGTCTCAGTTGATTACAAACTATCTCACCATCCATTCTGAAAAGTTTAATTACGTTTCTTTTAAACATTCTATCAGAAAAAAATATGTATTTAAGTGCTGTTAAATTGCATTGTTCCATCTCAAACGTTTTAATATGTTGGGATAATTGTGCTTTTTTTTTTAAAGTTACAGGGTTAATGGTTTTATTAATAATAATAACAATAATAAATTACTAGCAAATTAAAATTCTAATCTCGAGGATATGTATTATAGTAGTGTAATTTTATATATATATATATATATATATATATATATATGTCTAATAATTATATTATAGCAGTATGTTGTATGTTGTTTTTTTTGCAATATGCACATTTTAATACATTTGAGGTACATAGTAGTTAAAGACATTTAATATAACACTGAATTATGTGTACTGAAATATAAGTGATGAATCTAAAATAAACTTTAATATAATTCTGCTGTCGTTTATTTAGTTCTGCATAGTGATTTCCAGTTGCCTAAAAAAATGCAATTCATTGCTGGCAGGACAACTTGTTTAAGAATGAATGTCTGGTACATACCCTCTTTCAAAACATGATACAGGCCAAGGATAAAGTCCCAGAACAGGAAGCCAAGTTCAAGTTACATTCTTAACATTTTATTCTTATATTCAATGCAGCATTTGCTCACATCTCGGGTTTTGTGTACGTGTCTCTGTTTTTTTTTTTTCCAAGTCATTATTACACAACACGAATCAGTAGTTCTTCCTGTTTTACTCTTATGTTCCTTGACCTGAACAATGTTACGGATGACAGTACAGTTCCCAGAAGGTGCTAATTATACATAAACAAACTGGTAACGTCATCTCTCCGAGAACGACTGTAGGGTATTCCAACCGGTTGCAGTTTGAATCCTTACATACCTGATTAAGTAATCACCTTAAATATGTCTTTGTAAATGCACTTGACTCGGGTAATTTCATGGGAAACTTTGTTCAAAGAAAATTAATTACAAAGAAAATTACATTTAAATGGAAGTAGGTCATACAATTATTTTCATTACAAATTTGTATGTGAACCTCAGTGATCCCTAAAGGAATGGTTCACCCAAAAATGAAAATTTGCTGAAATTGAATCACCCTCAGACCATCCAAGATGTAGACAAGGTTGTTTCTTCATTCAGAAGTTTGGAGAAATGTAGCATTACATCACTTTGCGTACCAATGGATCCTCTGCAGTGAATGGGTGCCGTCAGAATGAGAGTCCAAACAAGTAATCCACACAACTCCATTCCACCAATAAACATCTTGTGAAGTAAAAAGCAGCATGTTTGTAAGAAACAAATTCATCAAGCCATTTTTTTTTTTTACTTCAAACCATTGGTCCTGGTTACAATACAAGTCCTCTCTAAGCATTATATCGCTTTCTCCATTGGTAAAAAAAATAATCTTATCTGAATCGGGAGAGAAATAGGCACAGATTTAGCAGCGTTTACAAGCGAAAACAGTCCAAAACAGTTCAAATGTTTTGGTAGGTTTGATGTGAGAGGACATAAGAGGTTGGATTTTTTCCACTATAGAAAGTGTTATTATGGATTATGGACTCATATTTTGGCCAGAAGCGATGGTTTAAGGTTAAAAACATCTTGAAAGACGAAAAGAAACTCATGAAAAAATATTGAACATTGAATAAAGAAAAAAAAAAAGTCGTCTACATCTTGGATGATTTGACGGTGAGTACATTTTCAGCAAATTTTCATTTTTTGGTGAACTATTCCTTAAGAACCTTTTGATACAGTACTCAACTGTATGTATTATTTTTACCAGTGTCACAAATAATCTCAAGCCAGCTGCAACAATTTTTATAATGTGACCTTTTGCCTTGTCTTAAACCACGCTAGAATATTGAATCCTAGTGAAGTGCTAGGATCAAGAGGGTCACGGTAAGAGACATGTCAGTTTGGTTTTAGGCCTCTGCCGCCAGCCTGTGTGCTCCCTTTCATTTGTTGCGGTGCTGACGGACATTACGCAGACTGGGGGTGTTGGCCTTGAACTTGCCTTTCCCTCCCGCTCCGCTTTCTCCCCCATTCACTCACAGCTGCGTCTGCTACAGTTTCCTAGGCAACCGTTATGCTGCCTGCCTAGCAACTGGTTTTCCCTCCCCCTCCCTCCTTGCAGATAGAGAGAGGGGTTGATGATGGGTGCTGGGAGAGACAAAGAACCCTATGTGTGTTTATCTAATGTGGATCATGGAATAGGAAGCAGCGTAGGCATCCTCTGTGGAGCTGTATTGTCTAAGCAGCTACACTCGCCGGTCCACTAGTAGATCTGAGATCTAAGGGGAGCAGATGTTAGTAGGTATGAGTGGGGACAATATTTTGAAATCCTGCCACACCTTCATTCATAAAAGCAGAATGCCTAATAAAAATTACACCTCAGTGTTTACAAATCAAGACCAGCTTTATATTGTAGAAGTGCGCATTGTTTATTGGAAAGTTTGTATAGTTAAAGTACAGGATAAAACCACACATTTTATTACGTCATCATAGTCAACAGCCAACCAATAAATATATAAACAAAGTGTGGTAGTGCCCCCACATGGTAATATTTAAAACATGAGACATGTTAAGTGTTTTAAAGCAACAGTTCACCCAAAAATGTAAAATGGATAAAATGTATTCATACTCGGGTGGTCCAAGATGTAGATGATTTTTTTTCTTCATTACAACAGATTTGGATAAATTTAGCATTACATCACTTGCTCACCAGTGGATCCTCTGCAGTGAATGGGTGCCGTCAGAATGAGAGTCT